TGATATCGTTCATTTTCAGTCGGTGATATCGTTCATTTTCAGTCGGTGATATCGTTCATTTTCACTCGGTGATATCGTTCATTTTCAGTCGATGATATCGTTCATTTTCAGTCGGTGATATCGTTCATTTTCACTCGGTGATATTGTTCATTTTCAGTCGATGATATCGTTCATTTTCAGTCGTCGATATCGTTCATTTTCAGTCGGTGATATCGTTCATTTCACTCGGTGATATCGTTCACTTAACACTACGATAAAGCCTTTCCGTTTTCGACATTGTGAAATTCCTTCGTTTTTATGAAAAATAAAAATCATATTTATTAAAATTAGTGTTCGTACATGAGTTGTTGTACACGCTGCGTTTTTTGTAATTTTATTCAGCTGCATTCAGTGATAATTGAAAACATATTAAATTGCAAAAATATCGACAATATAAAAAATTACGTTCGTTTTTAATAACCATGTATAATCAGTAATTATGGGAATTGTTATTAGTGTGCATATGGAATAATTTTCGTTATGAAATATTCACCTGTCAAATTCAGTTTACGTTCAGTTGGCGATATCGTTTTATTTGGATCAATCCACTTCAACTAAGTGAGCGAGTGAGTGTGTGAGTGAACATTGAACGAGTAATATTTAAACTATTTATTATAAATATTAAAAAGAAATAATATCTGATAATGATACATTATATATGTAGAAATGGAGAACAATCTCGAATAACCACAGTATACATAATTGTATTGTTTCCACGCGGTAGATCATGGCTACAGTAGACTACAATGTCACTTAACTGTATGGCGCGAAGTCGAATATGCGCTAGATCGTGACTGTTCAGCGAAGGAGGCGTCTTGCAGTCTCATTACTCACATCTGCCACATTTTCAAATTGAAAACAGTCGCCATTTACTGTATGAATGATGTTTTTAATAACCTCCACTTCGAGTGTCTCATCGGTTACAGATAACCCCAATGTGAACAGAAAGAACGTGAAGAGTGGAGAGCTGCTGAGAGGATGTCATAAACTGTCGTATCTATTCAACATACATAGAAAAACGTTTCGCTAAATGTCCTGCAGGCTGTCTCCAAATTGTCCAAGTGTCTACCCCTTGGTGCGAAGACGCCACCGACTGTGGCGTTATACACAGGATTAGTATTCATCTCTTCGCTAATGTAGCCCACGTCATGGTTAAAAATCAACCCTGTACATTTTCCGAATTCCACCTAAGAGGGCAGCAAATAACGCTATAGTATGTGCTTGAAAATACCCCCCCCCCCATCCCCGATAAACTCTTATTCTGCTTTATTTAAAATAAACATTTGTTCACCGTTTACGACAAGAATTTCCTATTTAGTTTGGAGAGACAAAATTTGCTGACTTGTAATATTTTGCTGTTTCCTAAATTTGTTCTACCACTCATCCAATCTCTTGAACACTGAGATCGGATGGTTTGAAATATTAGACTGAAGAGGGCGCTAGACTCAAAACAGAAGATTAGAACATTATCGCTATCGTATTCATTACGGATGCTGTATACGTTTTTTGCTTTGAAACCCAAAACTCTACTTTGTTTGTATTTTTTAATGCTGGACTACAAGGAGCAAACACTCAATAGAAAAAAAAAGTTAATTGGATGTTTTTATAAGGTGTAAAAATCAATTTTTGTTAATTAAAAACAAAAGCACATGTCATTGTCTTGAAAGCTATGTTTTAATTAATCAGCCAAAGACATAATAGACAAATAATTTGCATAATAGTCACCACCCATAGCAAATATAAACAGTCTCTTGCATTCAGTACAAGCATGGTACAAGCTCAGACTAGTAATACAGGTATTAGTAGTCCAAGGTACAAGTTACACGCATTCCATTTACGATCGTCCACATAGCGTAGTAGAATATTGAAAAAAATGTTATTGTTATTGGGTTATTATTAAAATCAAAAGTCTAACACTGAACTAATAAGTGAAAGTGTGTATCATAGTGGAAATGTCAGCTATAGATTGATGCTAAGTAGATAAACTACTTTGCTTCAAGTAATCAAGCAGTAAAGTAATGAATATGGATGTATTATGTCTCAATTATTTGTATTACCGTGATTTCAAAGAATGTTCATTCTTGTCTATTTCATATGCTCTCTATCTTTGATTCTAGAAACATGTTAGTTATCAAATAAAACAACCTTTCTATATGTCTCGTATTAGTTTGGTCATACTGCTGATGTCACTGGCATCTGTAGCCACTTTATAATCTGACGTTTTCAACGCATACCAATAGATAGTTATAAAACACATATGTTACAACCCATATATATGCACATTTATTATAATTTACAGCATAACACGAGTTCAATAGAGTTCATAAAGGGACCACGGTTGCCGCATTGTTCTATCGTGTTTCATTGCCGGAGGTCACAATGTCACTGGGGTTGCGTATAACATGGTGGGACATGTATAGTTCAGTTGGACTGTAAGCGGTATTCGTTCATCCCCAATATCACTGAATACTTATACGAGTGTGTATGTAAACATTTTGAGTTGGTTGTTTACTCTTTGGTATATCGCTGTCACGTAGTTGAGGAATAAGATTGGTCTGTGGTCGGTCCGATGATCCCCGTATTCCATATCACTGATCATGCCTATTTAATTCGAGACTACTCAACACCTTACAGCGAAATCACTCCTGTCGTTCGAGCTGCAACAGCATACTATGGAGACTGGAAGTTTAGAAGAGTTGGCAGCGGTAAGTTTGTGTCACATCGGTTCAATCTTTTACACCGCCCACCCAACTTAAGTGGTATAATTCCTCCATACAACTCGAGTACCATACATCCGCTAACACTCGTTTGTGGAATGGCGCCAAGGCCAGTCATAAAACCGCTGTAACATGGCGGTCACATCGCACACAGTGTGAAGTGTTTACATTTACCACTGTGATCATCGGAATGCCGTGTAATATTTGTTCACAATCACATAGATAAAGTATATCTGCCTTTGATCCATGACTATTTAGTATAGATTGTGACTACCCTGGTGTATTGTGTATAATCTGGTGTCATGCCTTGTGAATATTTGAAGAAATCGTGTTATAGGATGATATATTTCAGTGAAAACACAGTGAAACCAAAGGTCATAGTAATATATGCCACCCTGACATGACTCGTGACCTCATTTTTAAATACACATGTATGCAGTATCATGTACGCATTCGATGCATTGCAGACTGAGTGGTTATGTAAATGATGTAAGGCATGTAGTGTGCATACGTATTCTATAGTACTAATACAATTAAAACACACCCGAGAATCAGGGAACCAGCGCTGTATAAAGGTGAACGAAAACCAAATTATGACAGAGGTACAATGGCGACTGACGTGGAACTTTTAGTCATACTTCTTATAACGTTGTGTCGTATTTAAATCTACATATATTGTATTGATTTTACTGATAGTATGTGCTAATACAGATTCAAACAATAATGCTTAGTACGTCCAATTTCTCGACAGAGACGGAAAAGAGTCATCGCCAACACAAAGATCTTAAGAACAATGTCAGAAGAAAAACAGTTTGTTCAAGACGTTGACCAACTGACAGACAGTTTGGTAGTTTTGAAAAAGAAATTAGAAGATTATCGTGAGAAGAAAAGAGTTATTCGTTCTAAAGCGAATGGTGTACGCCGTAAAACGACACGTTCCCTTGACGATGTGTACGTTGATTTTATGTTCAGGGCATCGGCAGCATGTTTAGTGCTTTATGTAGCGATGCATATATTTAGACTTATTATGATCATCGTCTTTCCACAACTACTTATGGAATGCGCTATTATTGTCCAAAACGAGACTGATGTTCATGAAATAAGCAGCTTCTCAATTGCCCAAAAAATACTGCTGGGCTCACTGTTGTGTGACGAGTGTGGTTTCCATAACAACGACACGTGTTCCGATGTACTATCGGTATTGAATGTTTCTGAAGGACAATGACGTCACAAAAATAGACAAACGTGCTAGATATGATTACAATACGTGTCGTGAAGAGTAACTATCATTGACACAACGTATGTACCTACTAGGTTGTCATAGCAACAAGGCATATCCGGTTGATAAGGCGAAGGAGGCGACTAGTTAGAACATTGTGTGATGCAGAACCAGATATAGACAGTAATTTATATTGGTACTTGGACTGAAAACCACGACTCAAACCACTAACTGGAAACAGTTGTGTC